GGGGGGGGGGGGGATTGTTAAAAAATAAATGAGACTTAAGAGATATAACAAACAAATACAATATCTAGGCCATTTGAATCCTGATTGGAATAAATCATCTATTTAAAAAAGACGACACTGAGACAACCAAAGAAATTTTAATATGGATAGGGTCTAAATACTAAGGGATTATTAATTATGTGTGATAATGTTATAGGACAAACTGGCGTAATGAGCCTCTTAATACAATAGGAAGTATACACCACCTTCCTGTTCACACTTAGTCCAATCAGGAAACACACAAACCCAGGCTGTGGGACATTCTGCAAGACAACTAGCTTGGGCCCTTCACAAATCACAGTGTCAAGAAACAAATTAAAAATAAAGGTAAGGTGACAGTAATATTCTATATTAAAGAAGACTAAAGAGACATGGCAACTAAATACAATGCATGATCCTTGATGTAATCTTCAGCTGGGATAAAAACAGCTACAAAACAAATTTTGAGAAAGTAAATCTGCATATGAACTATATCTTAGATCATATTACTGTAAAACTGTTAAATTTTTTAGGTGGGATAATATTAATGTAGTTATGCAAGAACATATTCTTATCTTAGGAAGTACACGGTAAAGTATTTATATTTATTCCTGATGTCTTCAACTTGCTTTCAAATGGTTTCACAGAGGGAGAAAGACAAAACACAACTGTGACAAATGTTAACTGGTGGATCTAGATAAAAAGTAGGTGAGTGTTACAAACTTTTTTCTATCAGCACCAACACAAACAAAAACAAAACAACAAAAAGAATGTAAAATATGCAAAGTGTAAATAAGAGAGGAGAAATCCTAAAGCAAACCATGAAGAGTTTAAGTGAGTCACCTGACAAAAGCTGTTTATGAAAAGTCTGTGAAACAAAGAGAAATCCGGGCACATGTCCACATGGATGGCTCCCGGTGACATCACTAAAGTAGCGCTGATGAATTAACTTGTAAGCACCAGCGGGAGGGGTGCTCTGCGTAAGCCCTGAGCCTTTGGCCTGGATCTTCTCCAGTTTGAGATGATCACCACTGACAAGACTGACATCATAAGGATGAAACATCAGCATGGTCTGGTGCTTGGAAGAGTATGAACACTAAAGGTCAGAGTTAGTATTTAAAAAGACCTTGACAAGAATGATGGGCTGAAATGTCAAAGTCTTCCCTGTACTATCCTCAAAACTAATGAAAGATTTCCACTTCTGCCTTCCTGCTGCACCCCACCAAACTAATTTAAGTATTTTTTTAAGGGCTACCAACAGAAATGATCCCTCTGCACTATTCTTACCCAAACTCTTAATCAGATCATTTAATATTTTGGCAATCGAAACCTTCAAAATGCATGAAATATATAGATTTTAAGATTAAGAAAAAAAAGAATGAAAAGAACGAAAGTCTCAAAAGTTCCAGTTATATATATACATATATGTATAAAATGCTAAAAATAATGTATATTATATATAAAAATATATATATATATATATTATGCTAAAAATAAATGTCTTACAAAATCATGGAGTTATAAGAAAGAACCTATTAGATGTAAGGTTAAAAATCAGTTCAAGGTGCCCTGCCCGGTGTGGCTCAGCTGGTTAGAGTGTCGCCCTATACAGTGAAAGGCTGCGGGTTAGGTTCTCCACCAGGGTGCATACCTAGGTTGTGGGTTCAATCCCCAGTTGGGGCACGTACAGGAGGCAACCAATCAATGTTTCTCTCTCACATCGATGCTCCCCCTTCTCTCTCTCTCTGTCTCCCTTCCCTTCTCTCTAAAAAAAACCTGATGAACATATCCTCAGGTGAGGATAAATTTTAAAAAATAATAAGTTCAAGGCAGTTGAAAAAAGAAAAGACATGGAGTCAGGGGGAAAAGGAAACAGTTGGAAAAGATGTAAGTAATGCTATGTAGTCAATGATAATATAAAACAATATAGAAATAATAAATGTAGGAAATAAATATGTAGAGAATAAATCAATGCCAGATACAACACTAAAATTATATCCTATAGCAAGTAGTTATAAAAAAATACTTTTAAATTTGAAATATCAAATGAATTTCCACGTTTATTATTAAAACACAATTGGAAGTGCAAAAAAATATGCTAACTGAAGCATTAATTTTTTTCACACCATACATCTTGCTTTAGTCATTGACCAACAGATCTTAGAGGTTGTTGTTGCAAATCAGAGAAAGCATAAATCAGTTCAAAGGGACATAATTCAACTGTGATCTAAATCTAAAACCACTATACTATAGAAGGCAGTTTTGAGATACCCCACAAGGTCTGAAATGCAAATTCAGTGATTATACCATTCTAGCAAACGAAATCCTTTTCAGATTCCTTGTTAAGCATGAAGAGAGTGATTACGGAAATACAGGCTGTGCAATTACTTTCCCAAAAAAATACTGTGCATGTGTTACTGTTAAAACAAGATCTTAATTGTTCATTGTTCTAAAAATACTATTTAAATGTTTCTAATGTGAATAACAAAATGCTACACTGCTTGAGATAAAAACTGTCTGGAGTGAGAAAAATTTAACTGTTTCATTGTCTATATTGCTTCTCATAATGTCTTGTTCATTTAACTTACCAGTCGAACACTTCTTAGAAGTAACATTATTCCAGCTACGGCCATTATGGAGCTAATGTTCTTCAGAAAGAGATTTAATAATTAATTCTCATTAATTATTATTCACAACAGTGAAAGTACTAATGGGGGGGGGGGATGTCCTCCTATATCTAACTGTCCAAATGAGGCATTCTTCAACTAAAGGCCTACTTCTTCCAAAGAACTTTAACTGCCCACCTATTAATCTTCTCCTTTTCCTCCCAAATAATCTGGTATGCACAGTAACTGTTCACATAATATGGTACTGCTCTCTATTAATTGTTATTACTTTTACCATGAGTTCCTTGAAAGCAAAAATCAGTTTAATACTTCTTGTTTAATGCCCACAGTAACTCACATAGCCCTGAGTCTACAGTGCAGATTTAAGTATTTGGTATGAAACTTTATCACCAAAACCCTAAAATACTGCACTTTGGGTTATATATGTAGGTAAATAGTTGAGAAAAACTTAGCAATGTTTTCATAGTGTTTCATTTAAACTGAAATAGACCTAAAGGAATTTAACTGAAAAATAAGAATCCTGCAACTCCCTAAACAAAAGTGAGAATCTGACACGCGTCCCATCAGTAAATACAACTACGTATATAAGAAATGAAGTTGAAAGCATACACAAGGTACATTCTGTGATGGGTTACTTGGAATAGTATGTATCCCTGTATTAACTTAAACGCTGTTTCCTCTCCCAATCCTGCTGAAGTAATTTTCAATTTGAAATAACCCGGCATCTCTTCCTGCTAACCTGGAGGAGTGGAGGCCTGATTAGTTAACGCTGCAACTATTTATCCAGCACTCATTAATGCTGCAACTACTTATCTAGCACTTACTAGGAGGCAGGCAGTACTGCAAGGACTGGAGCTGCGCTCCTGAGCAAAAACAAACACGGTCCAAGCCCTTTGTGCTGCTTGGCTGCAGGGCATTTGCAGGCTGGTGATCCTATCCAGCTTCTCAGCGGAATTCAGCAAAGTTACCCATTCCTTCTGAAAATACTCTCTTCACTTGGCTTCGAGGCCAGCCGGTGTTCCTCTCCTCCGTCACTGTCCCCTCCTAGTCCTTGCTGACCGCCTCCTTTTCACCCCCCAGTTTCTGAACGTTAGAGTCCCGCAGGTCTCAGTTCGAAACTACAACTTCAGTGGTTTTTCTGACTCGCTCCAAAAATGTCATCCAAGCTTTAGATGCTCCTTCAGGTGTGCGCAGCTCATCGTTCCCAGAGGAGTGTGTCTAGTCCCGATCTCCCTTCAACCCGCGACGCCCGCATCCAGTGCCTGAGCGCCAGCCTCGTCAGCAGTCAAAGGACCGCGTCCAAGTTCACACAGCTCCGTCTAGGCGCCTAACCGGCCTCTTCAAGTTCACGTGCCCAAAAGGGTCTCTAGATTTTCCTAACAAACATTTACCGCCAACTACTCCTTATCAGCACCTTCCCCGACATCCACCCGGGGCAGCCCCCCGATTCCGCTCTTTCAGTGCGGCCCCCAACCGGGTGTTCCCGGCGCCGCGGCGTCTCGGCCGCAAGCCTCCCCGGCTGGTGGCCCGAGACGTCCCTCCCTCGCTAGGAATCCAGGGCTCCCCGCTTCCCTTGAAAAACAGAACACGGCAGAAAGTGGGTCTCCCCAGGCCAGCGAGGCCCACGGCT